CCTGTGAGTTTACGTACCAATGGCTGAATTTATTGTCATGATTTCGGGCACAGTCTCTGAATCCATCGTTGTATCCAATCCTGTATTCACTGGCGAAACCATTGGCTAAATCTAATGATAAGATTAAGGCAAACAAACACTTCCATAATTTTCCCTTAAACTCGTTAACATTAAGTGTTGTCAACATATTTCTAAATATACTGTATATTCAATTTGTTATATCATTAACATATGAGAATCACAGATGGTTATTATAGTTTTATTATAATGATGTCAATTATTTATTCAATTATAATTATTAAATATATTAAATAAACTTAAGACTGTTTGGACAATAATTCTTTATGGACTCTTGTGCTCAAAATGATAACATCTTCGACAGGTTTGTCATCTATTTTTGGTCCGCACTTTACCCATATCTCTGACAACTTTCATACTTTCAATTCCCTTCACTTTACCGAAAATAGTTTGCTTTCCATAGAGATGTGGAGTCGCCGCTAAGGTTGTGAACAATTGACTCCCATTCGTGTCTTTTCCAGAGTTAATTCAAATGCGAACCCATTATGAATTGACACTAAATTAATATAAATGTATTTAAAAATTTTGAATCAAATATATTTATTTTCATTAAATCATTGATTGCCATCACTTCATATTTGGTTAATGTATTTAAAATATATATTGTATTTAGTGGACTCTTGCGCTCAATATGACGACATCATCTACAGGTTTGTCATTTTCCCCGACCTTCACTTTACCGATATCTTCGACAACATCCATACCTACGACCACTTTACCAAAAACAGTGTGCTTTCCATCGAGATGTGGAGTCGGGACTAATGTGATGAAGAATTGACTCCCATTAGTATCTTTTCCAGAGTTAGCCATACTTAGGACACCCTCTGAGTCGTGTTTGAGCTCTTCGACGATTTCGTCCGCAAACTTCGTGCCCCATATAGAGGTGCCGCCCATTCCGGTGCCTTCGGGGTCCCCGCCCTGTATCATAAAGTCTTTGATAACTCTGTGAAAGATGGTGTTGTCATAACTGCCATTCCGAGAGAGTCGGGCAAAATTTTCGCACGTTTTGGGCGTCTGAGACCAGAACAGCTCTAAAATGATATCTCCTTTATTAGTCACTAAAATCACATATTTTTCTCCGTGTAATGCTTTCAACGACTCGATCGATGATATGATTAATAAAAGTACTTTCAATACAAATAATTTGCATTTATTTCCGCCGATATTCATGTTTGTTGTTATGAAAGCGTAGTTTTAATTTTAATACTGAATTACTTTTTGCCACGCATTCAACTTTATTATAAACTAATTAATTAAAATACGAACCCATTATGAATTGTCACTCAAAATCAGTTAATATAAATGTATCAAATATATTTATTTAAATGAATAAATGCTTTGTTTAAAAATATTATTTATTTTTGTTTAATCATTGATTGCTATCATTTCATATTTGATTAATTGTCAAAACGTGTCTAAAATAAAACACATTTGTACAAAAATTTACACTAAATATTATTATATTTAGTGGACTCTTGCGCTCAAAATGTAGACATTTTCTACGGGTTTGTCAAGTTTGGTCCGCACTTTACCGATAGTTTTAACAACATTCAAACCTTTGCTCACTTTACCGAAAACAGTGTGCTTTCCATCGAGATGTGGAGTTTCCTTTAAAGTGATGAAGAATTGACTCCCATTCGTGTCATTTCCAGAGTTAGCCATACTTAGGATACCCGCGGAGTCGTGTTTGAGCCCTTTGTCGACGCGAAATTCGTCCGCAAACTTCGTGCCCCATATGGATGTGCCGCCCCTTCCGGTGCCGGTGGGGTCCCCGCCCTGTATCATAAAGTCTTTGATAACTCTATGAAAGATGGTGTTATCGTATTTGCCCTTTCGAGAGAGCCCGACAAAATTTTCGCACGTTTTGGGCGTCTCAGAGCAGAACAGCTCTAACTCGATATTTCCTTTATTGGTCTCTAAAGTCACATATTTTTCTCCGTGTAAAGCATTAATGTCAAGCTTTAATGCTTTCGACCACTCGATCGATGATATGATTAGTAAAAGTACTTTCAATACAAATAATTTGGTTTTATTTCGGCCGCTATTCATGTTTGTTGTAACAAATGTTTTAATTTTAATAAAAACTTATTACTTTTTTGCCACGCATTCAACGCTAGTATAAACTAATTAATTAAAATACAGACTCATTAGGAAATGACACTCAAATTCAGTTAATATAAACGTATGTGTTTAATATTTATTTAATTGAACAAATGTTATGGTTTAAAAAATACATTATTTAGTCATTGATTGCCATCACCTGATAGTTGTTTAATTGCCAAAAACGTGTTTAAAATCAAAACTTCTGGTATTTAACAAACATGTAAATTATGTAAAGTTAATAAACATTGTTAAACACTAAATATAATGTTTTCAGACAATTAGATGAGTACAGGGCGAGTGCGCGAACTCCATGGCAAACCCGCGCGGCATTGTCTTGAGGTCTGTGAATGTGGTGAACTGAGTCCATGTGGAGGAATGGAAATGAATGACTTGATGGGAATTTGTCGCTACTATTAAACCATGAGTTTTGACATTAATTAAACGATTAATTGAAAAACATCACAACAATTAACTCAATACTTATAACAGGAGAGATGAGTGGTTCCAAATCGTACGAACACATCCGATTAGATCCGGGATATGTGATCCAGTAGTGGTCGGTCTGACAGACACCGTCTCGACGAGAGGTACGGCGCGGATAGAAAGCGGCTCTCGCTCTCAATGGCAACAGCGCTTCGGATGTGTCGAAAAAGGGGGCCGACATTGAGCGGGGAGTGTCGCCAACCTGTATGGGTTCGGTCAACGGACGCGCCTCCGACTGGACTAATGTGGCGATCCTATCGACTAACGCCGAGTCCGTACTGTTTGTGTGGTCTTCGGCCGCATTATTTGTCCCGTTAATGGCTATGGTTTGCACTTCCGGTGCGTTCGTTAAACTCAAATAACACATGTTTTTCGGTTTCCGAATACATATCGAGTAATCGATGTCTTAATTGTGTGGAAAACAATTATCAATGCGAATGGTATCGAAAAATTGATAAACTATTCAATCATATACTTTGCAAATAGCGTTTTCCGTCAAAATTGAAAGTTTTTATGAGTCCTCTATTCGTGTTATAATATTGAAGGCATCCCTGAGGGGCTGACACAGGCATTGGGTTT